CGCTCTTACCTACTCCACCTGCTCCAGGATTCGCCCCTCGGTTTCCCCATCTAGCTAATCCGGCAGGAAAACTCGAGTGTTTCAACTGCAAACAGCCCGGGCATTTCGCCCGAGACTGTCCACAACCGAAACGTAATCAGTCTCCCCCTGCTGCGGCCCCCGTCGCCCTTAATCAAGGACGAGTGGCCCCTCTGATGGACACGGACCCAGGAAGAGAACTCGTGGCATACGCCCCGGATCATCCTTCCCCTTCGACGACAATTGCGTCGACATCAGGAGGTTCTTCCTCTAACGCTGCTGACGTGGTCGATCCTCTCGAATATCTCCATCTTGCCGGAATGATCGGAGTGATCCGATCGGCCCAAGATGATCTCGAATGGGTCGATCGCGAGTCCAATCCTGGACCACAGTTTCGGACAGGGGATATTTATGTACTGAAAACGCTCAAGCAATTAGATATTCGCGTTCCTATCCTAGTAGGACATCTGCTCACCATATATGACGCAACGAACGATAAACTTTTACAACACTGCCAGAAAAATCAAAAGCGCTTCACCTATCAGCGCATACAACGGATGATGAAGAAGAAGGAGGAAGGTGAGAAAGTTGCGCCTCTTGAGCCAGACACAAAAGAACCTGAACCCGAAGCCGCMCGTATRGCARCGATCTCGTTAGCAGAAAAGGACCACTTCGTACGAGCTCGACCGGTACTATGGAAAAGTGCGGAATGTGACTGTGAAGTTTGGGGTAAGCCGTTTAACGCCCTTATTGACACAGGGTCTTCTACAGTGGCCATATCGTTAGATACTGTCAAAAAGACGGGACGACTTGGATCCATTCTTCCTCAATCTAGCAAAGATAACTATGTCTCTGCCGACGAGGAAGCAATGAACATCGTAGGCGTTATCGAGAACGTAGCTGTAAAAGTGGGACGAGTACACGTCCTTGTTAACGCGCTTGTAATAGATGTACGTTCCTACTCTGTATTGTTGGGATTGCCTTGGGCAATAGCGGTGGGCGCACGCCTGCATTTCGATTCGAAGCAACTGGTGCTCACACAAACTGGGGGAAAGCCTCAGACTGTTCTTTGTAGGTTTTCACCCGAACGATAAAACGGGTTCTTAACTCGCTCCAAATAGGGATGATCCGATACATTGATCCCGAGGAGTGCTCCCCCTCGCGCCTCGGGGATGGAATCAGGGAGCGAGACTACGAAGAAGAGATGCCCAGTGAAGAGGAATGGAAACATCTGGTTGAAATTTTCGAACATGAAACCCCTGAAGAATTTCGAGTGTGCCCCGACACCGCTCGAAGCTTCCACGTGGATTCTGAAGACAGTGCATTCACACCTCTAACAACCCAGGTCAGTCCTTCAATCCTCGTCGGGGAACCCATATTACAAGTCTCTGATCTGGCTGATGATTTGGAACCCCCTCGCACCTTGTACGAGGGAGCTCTTTCCTTACGAACACTCTATCAGCAAATGGAACAGTATTTGGATGTCTCTGCTTTTCCGCCCAGATCGTTATTAACGACTGGAACCACCATCACCTTGATTAAACAAGAGGCGGAAGCACCGGTAAGTGACGTACCTAATCTAATGCAAGAAATAATGGATCTAACCGGGCTAACTGTGGAACCGACCTCGGTCGGTTCAGAAACCGACGATGAAACTAAAGAAACGGAGATGATCAGCCCCGCTGAGTCCCAGATGATAGCAACTGTCTTCTCTGTGCGCACAAGTAGTTCCGTTTTCTCTAGTGTCAATGAGCGGCGGGAGCGGCCGGTTGATTGGATCGATATCCCCCTTAAGATGTCCAGGGAATCAACGATCACCCTCCCGAGTCACGTTCCCGCGAAACTACGATAGTCGTTAATCCGTGTGTTAAATGGTTATGCAGATGTATTGAGCGTGCACGATAATGATATCGGCCTGATGAATGTGATCGAGCATGCTATTCTCACGGGAGACCACCCACCCATTAGCTGTGTTCCTTACCGATATTCGTCGGCTCAACGAATGGCCGCTTTTCGGCGGATTACGGAGTTCGAAGCTAATGGATGGATCGAACCCGCTATAGGACCATTGTCTTTCCCTGTAGTAATCGTACCTAAAAAGGCCGGAGGGATTCGCACTTGCATTGATTACCGAAAATTGAATGATATCACGATCAAAGATGTGTACCCCCTCCCCCGGATTGATGAGTTATTGGATGCGATTGGGAGTGTTCGATTTTTCAACAAGTTTGATGTTCGCCATGGGTTCCATCATCTTCTTGTTCGAGAAGACGATCGTCCGAAAACGACGTTTGTGCTTTTCGAGGGTACATGGCAGTGGATTCGATGTCCGATGGGTATCTGCAACGCCCCTGCGACTTTCCAGTGGGCCATGAACATGGCTTTTCATAACTTTGTACGGAAGACTCGTTTGGCGCAGAGCATCATCAACTACTGCGTGATTGTATATATGGATGATATATTGGTGTATTCAAGTTCCTACGAGGAACACATGCAGCACATCGAATGGGCACTGCACGCGTTACAAGATGCAGGCTTTAAGGTGGCGCTCGAGAAGTGTCAGTTTTTCCTCACCACCATTTCCTTCCTGGGGCATGTGGTGACAGACATAGGACTCCAACCGGAGCCACAGAAGGTGGCAGCTGTCAGGGACGCGCCCGTGCCTACCACTATCACGCAAGTTCGTGCCTTTCTAGGCCTAGCCTCGTATTACCGAAGATTTATCAAGGGCTTCGCGACGATTGCGGGACCTCTCACAAATCTGCTGCGCAAGGATCAGTCGTTGATCTGGACGCCGGAATGCGATCAAGCGTTTTCCACACTCAAGGCCGCTCTCATTTCGGTTCCGGTCCTTATAAGACTTGATCCCGAAAAACCTTTTGTTCTCATCACTGACTGGCAGCCAGAGGCGATTTCGGCGATTCTTGCCTAGGTGGGACCGAGCGGACTCGAGTGTGTGGTGGAGTATACATCCAAATCAGTGCCCGCCTGCAAGCACAATTACGCCGCTCCAACGGGCGAATGCTATGCGGCTCTCTGGGGGATCAGTCACTTTCGTGCTTACCTGTACGGGCGAAAATTCACCCTGGTGATTGATCATGAGCCCCTGTTGGCTCTGAAGAAGTCGAAGGATTACTCGGGCATGATCGGGCGATGGGCAACGGTGTTGCAGAGCATAGACTTTGACATCCGCCATCGGAAGCACGAGAGACACGGGAATGCGGACGGACTGACACGACTACACCGGCCTGAGAAAGTTCCGAAGAATGAGGAGGTAATTCCGTGGAACGAACCCGAACAGGAAATTGGACCTCGGTACGGCCAAGTGGAGATCTTATCGAAGCAGTAAGTGGCATGAGAACTAATTGTTTTGTTCTACCCTCCCTGCATCCTTTCCTCCTCTGACATCATGGCTACTCCACTCACCTCCGCAACCCCTTCATCTCCTACTAATTTTGCCCCTCTCACGTCCTCCGCTTTCTTTGCCACCCTCCCCGATAAATTCTGTTATTTTTGCATGTGTATTGCACGGGTTTATGGGGTCGACTGTCATCCCTTCGAGACCGGATTTGTCGATTGGGTAGAATGTGCCACGTGTGTCAATCGTGCGCACGGGGCCTGCGTTCGATATCGGACGAGTAGCAAGGAATGGAGGTGCCCCCTATGTAGAACGAACAAACTCCCCACGGAGGTTCGATTCGAGGCCGCCCATACGGACAGTCCCGAATACGACGAAAAAAACCGACGAGCGGAAGTCTGGACGGATAAAATTTTATTGGCGAAATTAGCGGGATTATCATTGGGTCACCTCACCAAACACAATAGACGTAGGGCGACCGAGAGATCTCGGGACTATCGATGGATCAACGATCATTTGGAAAAGCGTAAAACTGACGGATCGGGTTCGTGGCTGACGATTCCCCATCCCTTCCAGAGATACGATTGAATCCGATCTGCTTACGAGGAACAGGCCGCTCATTTCGCAATACGTGTCACGGAGGCAACTGTAAACCAGAACCGATGGTTCTGGTCCAATATACGAGATGATGTCAAATACATTGTCGCTAACTGTCTGGTCTGTGCCGCTGATCGCGCCCCTATACGGGGACCAAATACAATCGTACCAACGGAAGTAGAGCGTCTTTTTCAGCGAGTCATTATGAACACGACAGATATTGACGTGCCACCTGGCCCAAACCGATGTGAATATTCTATTTTATTAGTATTAATTGACCATTTTTCCAAGTACATCGAGGTCTATCCCTGTAAGACCCAAAAAGCCGCAGAAATAGCCATGTACATCGAACGGTTCCTTTATACCCATCTAGATACGGAAGAAATCCTAACCGACAATGAATATGAATTTAAAGGTGAGGTAGAAGAACTACTTGCACGAAGGGGCATCGCGCTCCGACATACGGCACCTCACATGTCCCAGTCGAACGGGTTGGCCGAGAATGCCAATTGTATGATTAAAACCGCCCTTCGCAGGAACTTGGCGTCACACGACACGCGTCCTTGGCCCGAAATCGTGTATCAGATCGTCGGAATCCACCGGGCCACCCCTCACGAGTCTACGGGGTTTACCCCCTTTCAACTTCGAACTAATAGCCTCCCCATGTGTCGATTACCGGGGCAACTCGGAAATTGCCGAAGCAGGGGGTAGAGACACGCGTGCGGCCCTCAAGGCCAAAGCCAAAAGGTACACCGATTTGATGGAACGGGCCGTTCCGAAGCTAGCCCGAAAAAGACAAAGGATGACCGAGCTGGCCCACGGTAGACAGGTCCGTAGCTACGAGGCCCGGAACGGAAATGCTGGGCCCCAGTACCAGTATAAATTGGGGGACCTAGTGCAGGTACGTAAATGTGCACGCGACCAGAAACTCGCTCCCAAGTTTTCTGGCTGTTTTCGCGTTGTCGAACTCGGACCCAACGACGCTAACATGGTGCGCATCGCGCCTGAAGCTAGCGCCAGTCATAGCTCCGTCCCCATCGTAAGACATACCTCCTACCTCCGTCTCCTTCCTCCTTCCAATTTCCCTCCCTCTTCTTCCTCGAAAAGCGCGGAAAACGACGACGATCTAACCCTCTCTCCTCTTTCTCCCTCTTGTCCCTCGTCCTCCTCTCCGACCTTGCCATGAGTTTTATCACGGAGTGGGTTCTCGACGCACAGCTGCGGCAGCCACGTGACCACATCTCAGAGATCCGGCAAGTTTGTCACCCTCGGCTCAGTACGGATCTCCGTCGTTTGATGCGATTCTTCTGCGACGAAGGTATCTGTGCCGCCGCCGTGTTTCGGATAGAAGGAAGCCCTCACGCGATAGTGTTCGCGGAGGTTACTGCAGTTCATCGACGAGCGGGTCCCAGAACGAGCCACGTTACCACAGTGGCGGGATTCACCGGCGACATCAGCTCGGTCAATCCGCTGCGGCATACCGCGATTTTGGCCTCGCTGCGCGAGTGTACGGAGCAAGTATCCAACGTGTGGCAGCACGTCCTCGCCCGGGAGGGGTATAACATCATCCCGATCTTTGCATCGGACCTTGACGGTATTTGCCGATCACCGGGCGAGCGGCCAGTTCCGATCCCAACCATCGTCCCCTTCCCCCTTCCCCAATGAACCATGCTGCTCGTCTCGCTCCTCTCTCTACCTTTGGTCTCCCCTCTCTCTTCCCCACCTTCTGGCAATCCGATCTCCACCCTTCTCTCTCCTTCTCGTTCGAACCTCTTTCGGTCCCTCTTATCAATCCTGGATATTGGCGGCTGTGGCGTGAGACTTTTGAGGAGTTGTCCTTCTGCCTGGCCCGAGTACAAGTGAAGTGGACGGGCACTATCGAGCACCCCACGTGGATCGAGAATCCGGAGCTGTTGATCATATAGGGTTGGAGGACTAACCCGGAAGAAGATCTTATTGGATTCCTCTTTGGATCGGTACGATCGGGTCGCCGTCAGTTGATTGCACAGGAGCTCATTGCGCCGATCGTGCAATTGGCAGACGATCTCTCGCCTGACATCTACTTTCAGAGTGACAACAGTCCTGCTCCGTACATTTTCGAGCGATCCTTGGATCCGTACCTTCAGTGGACTTCGTGCTTGGAGGAACCTAGGGACGAGGATACGCTGCCATCGCGGCAGGAGTATCTGAAGCCGTACGAGATCATCCCTTACGCCTTCTACCCGAGGGCAGAAGAAGTGGTGATTGACGACAACGACGATGAAGAAGAAGACGACGACGAGGAGGCACCGCCGGAGGGAAGCTATAGTGAACATAGCGAGGGCGAGCTGAGTGAGGAGGAAGAGGAAGAAGAAGGAATCGGGTCCGAGTGGGAAGCCCCGCCGGAGGAAGCGACGCATACGGGAACGGAGGCGGAAGATCCGGAAGCGGCGCGAAAGCGTGAAGAGATTGCCTCCGGAAAGCGCCAGCTGGCCTTCGCTAGCGAGGCTAGCCTGCGCATCAGTAGCGATCCGACCAGGAATCCAGAGCCGCCGAGGCCCGAAGATGGCGACCCTACAGCCGCCACCTCAAGTATCGCGCGACGGAGATAGCACCGATCCCCCTCCTCCTCCTCCAGCCCCACCCGTCCCCCAGTTCGCCCACGTACCAATGCGGGCGATAGGCCTTCGACCTCGGACGCTGCCCCGCCGACCCCTTGATTTTCTCACCCTCGAGCAGATCCGTACCCCCGTCACCTTCCCTTCCCATCCTTTCCATCCCCATCTCTTCCGCGACTTCTATTATACCCGTTTACTCGCCACCGTCCACCCCCACGCCTCCCTTCAATCCGCTGCTCCCACGTTCTGCTGGCACCTCCTGCTGTTCAGCATTGCATGGGAGCGATCCAACGTCGTAGAAGTCTACTGCGTTGCCACGGGGGCAATCCCCGCCTGTCGCCACTTTGAGATCTTTCGAGCGGTGCTTTTCCACACCCTCTCCTCCTTCTATCGCGATTACCTCGCTTCCCTCCCCCGCAGTGGTGATCATTTTCCCCGCTTCCACCGAATCATCCGATATGAGAAGCTCCCGGTGACGATGGAAGGGATGAATCGTTTCCTACCCCCCCCCGTCATCCCCGCGAGATCCCCGGCATGTACCGCCTCTACTGGCCTATTCCATCTAGGCGGTAGATCCCATTCACTT